CCAAAATATCATTATCTTAGCCCACCGGTACATTAAGGGACTAGCTAAAAATCAGTCAAGGACTGTAGAGAGCTACAGAATGAACCTCAGCTCAACTTCAGATCTGGAAGCAACAAGACAGTTCTGCAAGAGAAAGTGCTTACGAGCAGGAAAGCTCCTGGGAAACAAAACGTCCTCACCACGTGCCCTCACATATTAAAAGATGATCCACAAAGAATGCCAAGATACCCCTTAAAGGTTGACATTTGTTATAACTAACTGTTACATCTTACATGCCCATATGCCTCTGCCATGTACAAAAAGCTCCATGAACTTTTTATTAGGCGATGCCCAACTCTTCAGGGTTGTAGCAGTCTCTCTTGAAGTGCTTTAAACAGAGACCTTCACAATAATTTGAAGGAGCATTGAATTACTACAGACAAATAAAAGGATGAAGCCTTGGTAACTGTTGAGACCACATGCATCTTGTGGCTGAGCTAGTTTGCCCTATGTGGTGGCACATGACAGTATGATCTTTAATTAATACTATGGCTCTAGCATACTTTTTTTTTTCCCTAAATCCTGAACATCCGACATCCTTTCCCACTGATCTGGAAAAAAATTAAGTTCAAATCCTTTTTGTCCAGAGACTCAGTGGATTGCAGGAAACACATACAAATAACTGCTCGACTGAAAAAGTAGGAACTTAAGGAATATGGCTCTTTAGCACTACAGTTTGGGTAAAATTAGAGCTGAAACTGTAAATCAGTTTCTCAGACACCCTTACAGATTTATTTTTTTTAAAAAGTAAGCGTACCTAAAGAAAGAAAAAAGAAAGCTGCTACTCCAACTTTGTTTGAATGGCTTAATGTTTCATCTAAATCCTTCAGAAAGTGGTGGAGACCAAAGAAAGTAAGAAAGTAAAACTTCTGATTCAATACAGGTTAGCACTGATATTCAGATATTTCTCATAAATTAAGCCTTCACTTTCCAAGCAAATTTCCCTGGGTACACTGTGATCCCACGATTGATCGGAAATTGCATTTGCTCAGAAAATGGAGCAGCCAGTACACCATCCCAATTATCTACAAAATGTTATTGCTGAAGTCAGAAAATAAAAAGTTGGTTAGGGGACAAGTCCTATCTATCAAACCTGTAGTAAGAAAAGAGGACACAAGTGGAAAACTGGTGCTGTTGGCTGCCATTTAAATATAGTTTTTATTCAAATACAGCATCTTTCTTTCTCATTACATCTCTGTAACTGCTGTGATGCCTGCATCACAACAGAGATTTTTGGTTTTTTAGATTCATCCAAACCCTTAACATCAACTTAATAGCCAAATAAAATTTCCTACAAGAGAAAACTGCATGAGTAGAAATTCAGCATCTTCAGGAAGAAAACTGAAGTCCGGTAATCTTTAGTTACGCCTAGAACAAAGTTAATGGTGTAATGAATAGAAATCCTAGCTACATCCCACATGTGGCATACTAGGCACTCTGAATCAATTTAAATCATGTCTGATGTGCTTTCCTCCAGAGCTGCGGGGTTCATAGCATATTGTACTGAAACAAGCCTGTGTTGAAGACTGGTTTATGAGCAGCTGCTGCCAAACAGCAGACAGGAAGTTAAGCTGCATCAGAAGCGAGATGGAGAACAGTATTATAAAGGGGAGGAGAAGTAAAACAACTTCATACACTCCATCAGTGGAGTGACTGGTATTTCAACAATAAAAAAAGAGTATCTGAGAATGAATGTTTCTTCAGGTTAAGAAAGACCAGAGCTATACAAACATCTCAAATAACAAATAAAAAGCAGGGACATTTTATCTTACTGTAAGAAGTATACAAAATGAATCACACAAAGAAAGTTGATCACACAGTTCTTAACGAAACAAGGGGACTTTCAGTAAAACTAGATTTTAAGCAGCACAGAAGTCCATACACATTGTTCAGCCTGAAGTTCATATGGTATCAGTATAAAACTGAAGTAGAAATTCAAGAACTTCATTAAGCATAGTAAAACTAGTCTAAGTAATTAATCATACCAGAGAACCAAGGTGAAAATAAAGCTCTCCATTCCAGAGTTCAAATACGTGAGATTTCAGGCAATACATTACACTGCTAGATTGTCTGCCTCTGAATTTCTTAACAGTATCTATTTATTTTATTCTTTTAAAAACAAAACAAAAGAACTGGACATTAGCTGACAACACAAAGGATCAGCAAGCCTTAGTATGGTTTGGATATCCAGAAACAGGACATACACTGAATTTGATGCACCCCACACACCCCCACAATCACAATGAAATACAATGTTCTATTAGTTTTATGATCTAAGGACCTATTTTTACTGCTACTTTTTCTTTTGCTATGACAAACCTGAAAAATTGCTCAAATACACAATTAAATTTGCGACAGGTCAAAGACAGCCCAGAATGTTAAAACCATCTCAAAAAAAAAACGTTAAGCTTGAGTTTAAAATGAGTAGAACCATTAAGTGAACACTTAGCTATTCAATTCCTGAATTAATGAAGACAGGATATCCACTAGAGGCCTACCCACCCATTGTGAACATCAGATGCATCAAATTAAAAGGCAAATTAAGCATACGAAGAACCCCTCAGTTAAGAAATACCAGAATGAAAAACCTCAAGTCTCATGAAGCAGATATTCACAGAATCCCAACTTTCACATGGATTCAACAAGGGTGTTGCTCTTTCTAAAATTCAATAATTTAAGAAGCAATTCTAGCCAATGCTGCATTGGTAGCTTTGTCAATCTGTGCACAAAACTGCTTAGGCACAACACCAACATACTTGCAACTCTGGATAAACTATTTTGGGCCATCATCTGCTTAGCCAAACACCGAAGTAGAATTCCAGAATAAAAATATTCTAATGTTGGTAAGTTTATCTACATTCTAGATCTCAAACTAATGCCTAAAATAATAATTAACTGACAGCTCCCTCCATAGCCTTTTTTTATTCATATAATTAAAAACATGCCTCGCTGGCTTAAATCCAGTGATGAACAAACACACATTATGCACTGCCTCAAGAATCAAAGCTCATAAAACAATGTTGCACAGAGCTACAAAAATCACATGGTGTTAAGAGACTGCTGAAGCCTATGAAAGAAATTCTTAATAAAACCAAATGACAAAAATCTATAGAGGACAAAATCTCAGACAATTCCTATGAAACACTTAGCTGTTTCTGTTGATAACACAAGAAACACTCTCCCATTCTGCCTACTCCTCTTCTGAAGTTATGGGAGTGGCTTACTTTCAGACAAGTTTAATTCTGTGCAGAGCAAGCCTGCAGTCACATGTGATTTAAACTACTGAAGTTTGATCACAACAGTGAATTTGTGATTTATTCATACTAGACCACAACACTCTTCCCATTTATTAGTTTGTCCACCTCTAGCCTCATTCAGATGAATTCTCTGAAACATTTTAGTGAAGCGCTCTAGAATTTACTGTAAACACACATAAAACCAGGAGTGGCATTCATTAATGAGGCTCATGTTCTATTTTAATACACAGCACATCTACCATGCTCTTACACGATTAAGACAACACAGGAAAATGGATGAAGTAGTTCAGTACTTTAAGAATTCATTCAGAGAAAATAAAGTTAAAAAAATCATAGGAGTAAATAAAATTAGTTTTGAACTGGCAAGAAGAGAGACTTCAGTCTTCTTACACATTACAAGAAAAATTCCTCATTCAATTGTGAGCCAGAATCAATATTTTTCAATAAGAGCCAGATTCAATTCCATTTCCTTAGCAAAGCAGTCAGTACCCAGCAAAGCCAACTTCACTCCTTCTTCCCCAATCTGTCAAACTTCTGCAAGCCTCACAGGACTAAATGGAAAACAATTTTTTCCAAAAAAACTCATTAACTTAAATTCCAAATACCATAACCGCCCTCAGGAATTATTTTTTTTCTTCCAATCAAGTTTTTCCACTATAGGAAATATTTATCTTCCACCTAGCAGCATTTAAAAGACCCAACATGCCATTAAACCCGAATACGCTTCAAACCTTTCCTCCAGCCTGGTAAATTTGGTAGCATTAGCTGTTACTTCTTACAACAGTGGGTAAAAAAAGGTCAGGCAAAAGCAAGAATTTGTAGCCTATTAAAAAATCTTTAAAGTAAAAAAGTTACACAGAAATTAGCCTGAAACAGAAAGGCTATGGGGGCTTAAGTGCTGGTCCAAACCTACTGAGGTCTGCAGAAAGTCTTCTATTGAATTCCGTGATCTCTGGATCACTCCCAAAGCACCTACAGTAGCATAGATAAGAGACAGCATCTACATTTCAAAGGTAAGTTTTTCCTGTAAAATAAAACCAGCTGTAAGTGATTTCAGTGATTTTATTCTGATGAGACTAAGCAAGGTTTCTGATTTTAAATCTAATACAGCTTCACAGTAACCATCACTGTCATTAGCGAATGCCGGCTTTCAATATCAGTCTATGGGACAACCACCTCAGAAAAATAAAATCAGAAATCAATTCTGAAAGTGATGCTTCTTCTGTATTATAGCTCATGGTGAAACTGAGAAAAAAAGTTTCATGCCGCTAAGCAGTACACTGAATGCTTGCTGTATCAATTGGCAACCTAAGACTCAACACAGTAACCTGTTCAAAGTGCAAAATTCTCATTAGTCTACCACAATTGACTGGCAAAAGTCTAATTTCTGAACCATTTTAGAAGCACCTGCTCCACATCCAAACGTTATCATAGCACAACAATAGAAATAAAGTTCTGTTCTTTAAAATAATAAAAAGCCACCAGTACTGCCCACGTGTTTCCCTCCAGAAATATTAATATGGTTTAAAACAAAGCAATATCAGATTTTATCCTACTATCCTACTTTCAGTTGTACTCAGGCGACTACCTACATGCACTGAGATGTGAAATATTAGTAATTTCGCATCATATGTGCAGTCCATACTAATAAGATCAGAAGCACGACATAAAAATTTCTTCCAGTCACAACAATTTCCTTCTTACCTTGCCTCCTTCTCTTTCAAAGTCGACATATTCCCGGGTCGGTGTCTGTCGCTGCTCCCCCTGCCAGCTGGCCGGAAAAAACTGGAGAGACAGATTGGTTCCTGTGGCCACAAAAGCCTTTTAGAAAAATCAATACAAACAGGATCAGGGAGCAAGACATTACATAAATTATGCAGGCAGTCATTTATTTTTACATCAGTTTATGTCTTAAGCCAGGCAGCATAGAGAATACTTAAAGTCAAAAACATGCACTCATCATTTTTCTTAAGTATTAAGTTACAAACATCTGATTCCATTTTCACAACATTTGCCATTGGCTGCTTCGGATATAAAATACAACATGGAATCAATACTTCTTTCAAATCAGTTTTGCTGACATTAGAATCTGTCCTTCCAGTTCTGTCTGGATACCCTGCACCAACTTAGTACCTGCAACATTAAAAATGGCCCATGCTTTTTAAAGAGCCTGCATATCTCTAAAAGAAGTACTGCTGAAGGAAAATGAACTCCTGAGACCTGTTACTAGGGACAACTTTTTTTGAAAGAAAAGGACTTGTTCCCTTTCACAATCTACTTGTAACTAGATAAACACTTATCTGAACTGAAATGTAAATATTCCTATTTCATTGTCTACAGGCAAGCAGCATCAATGTACAGCTCAATTAAACTTCACAGGACGAAGTCCTCTTGCCACATTAAGACACCAGTGAAATCCAAATCAGCAGACAGTGTGTCAGTGAGAACAGGCAACCGTAGGAATTCTTCTCAGCTGCAGCCCTTTGTAAAATCATTAAAGGGACTGACTCAACCGTATTAGAAAGCGCATACTTTGCTTTCAAGTAAATAATTTTCTATGGTTTCAAATGAAAGTGAGAATCAGTTTTCTTTATAAACTCTCTGTATTTATTTGTAGATCTGAGCTCCAAGCCATGAAGAATATGTCAATTTCTAGACATGAAACAAAAAATGATTTTTGCAAGTACAAGTCGGATTCACAGTATTTATACCCTTCTCTGGTACATGCAAGTATGTCCTGTAAGCACGTGAATACTCAAACACGTTCCCAGAATATAACTCTACTCAAAATCCCAGGGTTAAAAGTAATTTGTTGCAATCAAATAACTGTATTGATTACCATGATCACTTAGATTTAAATGGTCATTAATCCAGACTACAGTTTTTCTTAAAAGCTGTACAATACCACCCTAATAGTTGGAATTTCCTGACAAACAGATTCCTTTCAAGTGACCCAGAATTCAGCAACTTCATGGTATAACTGTACTGCTACCTATGACACAACAGCTCTACATGTTATTTAAGATAGTTCTGGTTATGTACTGCAAAAATGCTGTCTGTCACAGGATGAATACCTCCCATTTTGAAAGCAGAAGTGCTTTGTCTTGACTTTTTCCCCTCTGCCAAGGGAGACTAATATTCTGCAAACAGGGTCCATTCCAGACTATCCTTAAAAGCAGATTTTTATTTTTATTTTTGTTAACTCTCCTGTTAAGCACATTCTCAACGTCATTAAAATCAACGAATCGGTCCTACTAGTACTGGGGGGTATTGTATTGGTATGTTAGTGTTTGTTTGCCCTACAATATGCAAAGACACACATTTCAATCAATGTAATAGAAGCTTCATCAAGGATACACTTGCACAAATAGGAAGCACCAAAACTACGAGGACTGCAGATCGTCAGTATCGGGTTGACTAGCTTGTATTATCCCTTTGCTTTTCTAAGTGATTCTATTTACCTATCAACAAAAAAATTATACCTATCTCCAAATATTTTTGGACCCATAAGTCGTGACCACTTAATCTGTTCAAGAACCACCTTCCCACCTCCAAGCATCTTTAGCAAATACGTGTTTTGTACTCCTTAATTTATACACTTACAACAAAACGCCAAGGAGTGAGATCTTTAAGTATAAACCAGCTGACCACTGCAGCCCTCCAGACCACTCCAGTTTCTGCAGGCCCCAAGGATACTGGGCCAGAGGTACTGTACTTGCTTTCCGGGAAACCGAGCGAGACAGTGAAGTGCCCGTGCCTCCCTGCCTCCACCCCTCAACTTGTGCTAGAGGGCCATGAAAAACCATGGGAAAAATATCAGAGAAACGAAGAAAATGAAAGTACACAAATTCCCACATCCTCATGGAGTCACGCAGGCAACATTTAAACCACAGGCTATTTAAAAAGCTATATAGACACTTATTCTCCAGATTTTTGAAGCCCTCCCTTTGAACAGATAAAACCATCCAATTAAAATACCCACGTGCTTCTCAAATCAAAATCACAGGTCAATACTGAAAAAACTCAAGAACAGTCTTGCTAGTAACCACACAGGACTACACCAAACCCAACTTTTTTTTTTCCAGTAACAAGTAAATTGAAAAAAAAAAAATTACACCATTAGTTTAGTCTTAAACGTGAAAGTAAGAAAATTATCATTTTGTATAGAGAGCCTTTTAAAGCTCAGTCTGAAACATTATCATACACATATGCCTCAAATTTTGCAAAAAGTTCATCAGACACCACAAGGGTGATCTGACCCACATGCAGGCAAAGTAAATACAAGTACCTTCCAAACAAACAGGTAGTTAGGAAGTCTCCCAAAACAAACTGAACATGTAAAGTTACTTTCAATTTATCAGAGCAATACCAGTAAACTCAGAATCTTATTTAATAGTTCACAATTGCTTTCTCAGTAATACTGGTAATTATTTTCTTTATTCAATCAAGACTTACTTGACAGAAGTAACCAACAACCTACTGCCAGTTCTACATTAAATCCCTAAGCTGTTCTCTGGGTTTTTTTGCCTGCTTAGAAATATGTAAGGTCATTTACAAAAGGCTCCCTTTGGAGATAAAAGAATAAATCTTTGATGTCTGGAAAAACATTCAAGACTGTAAGAATAGCAAAGTTGCTAGCTCTTTTTAACATCAATCATTACACACACTACATTTCTAAATAAACCTGACTACTTGCGCCCTGTTCACAAAACAAAACCAGATGTTTCAGATCAAGAAATTCAGAGGCTGTTTTATAATTAAGTAGAAGTAAAAATATGTAGAACAGGCATCACTGGTTGCTTCCAAGGGATGAAGTTCTGGTAGAGAAAGACAGCAGCAGGCTTAGAAGTACAAAGGTGAAACTACAGTGATTTCCCATTTATATAAATAACCACATAGGCTGCATTAGAAAGCGAATTTATAAGCTACATGTCCTTTTTTGGTTTATGGTTTTTTGTTTTTTGGTTTTTGGGTTTTTTTAAAAGGACTCAGGTAGACTACACACTTTCACCTGTTCAGGAACTTCAAATGCTAGCAAACTACGTTTTCCTTACCTACTCATTGTTTCCCTGGTGACTTTTTAAAGGAAGCAAACATACAGAATGAAAAATGAATGTAAAAAAAAAAAAGTAAAACTAAGAGACTGACTGCAAGGGACCTCTCACAAAATAATATTACAGGTTCTAATACCACAGATAACAAGCAAGGATAAGACTCACCAAAAATAAAGTTACTCAGTAAAAGATTACTGTGTACTTGGGTGTATAACTTTTCACTCACAAATGCAAATGAACAAGATCAGTTGCAGTAACTGGTATTCAATTATATTTGTTTGGATGTGCATAAGAATAATTTCATTGTGCATAAGAATAATTTCATTGCGAACTGACTAGCTGTATCTATACCCCGTGAAATTAAGGAATCATCATAATCCAAACCTGGTAAAAGTAGGGGTTATTTTCTACGGGAAGGGAATTTTTACCTCACCTTTCATTACATAGTATAAGTGAAAAAGAGGTTACTTCTGCATTTTAGGAACAGTGAAGAGTTAAGATCTTAACAACGATGTTATGAGATGCTGATCCTATAGAAGGAACACACAGCAGAAATCAAACCAGGAAATAACTAGTCAGTTCTTGACTACTTCGAGCCATACTTCAACTCACTCCTTAATTCAGAAGAGAGTAGTCTGTAACTAACCTTAATGAATGAGAAAAAACAGGGCTGAAGTTGTGAGTTTCAAACCCTAATCTTAAAAGTATTTGATTTAGTTCACAAATACATCAAACGGCTCATTTGAGACTTTTAGCTAGCGTCTTCTGAACAATTTTACTCATTTCTGAAAGCTACTGTTTCCGGGGGGAGGGGGGGGCGAGAGAAAAAAAATGCCGACTATTGAAATAAGCAGCTTCTAATTGCAACACGTGCCCAGCACAGGTAGTACAGCCGATTCGCACTGGCGGGTGCTGGCCGTGAAGGCTCCGAGAGATTCCCCTCGCCTCCCTCTCACCCCACCGCTCCAGCCAACTACGTTTCTACCGGTCCGCCGAAGGCAGAGCGAGCTGACACCTTTTAGCGAAACAGCGCTCTTCGCAAGGAGAAAGGACGGCTGCCCTTTAGCGAAAGCCTCCTTTCCCTCCGCGTTCGAAAGGCGGCAGATGTCATTTCTGTCCCCTACGGAAAACTCC